GTTACTTCATACATTATCGCAATTTACAGTAATGTACTCGTCATGGTCTTCGCGTAACAAAGATCCATCGGGTGCTACAATTCGCGCAATCTCCATGGCTCCGCGATTACATTGAACTTAATACCAATTTCAGTACTCGTGCGAAAAACGATTTTGAAAAAAATTTATACAAATTAATGGACAACGCGGTTTTCGAAAAAACCATGGAGAATGTGCGTAATCACGTCGACGTAAAATTATTAACAAAATGGGACGGACGATACGGCGCGGAGGCAATGATCGCGAAACCGAATTTCCACAGTCGTAGCATCTTTGCGGAAAATTTAATCGCCGTCGAACTACGCAAACTCGAGGTGAAGTTCAACAAGCCGATTTACGTGGGTATGTATATACTCGATATATCGAGAAAGTCTGCTTGTACAAATTTCACTACGACTACATGTTACCACTGTTTCACGATAAATGTAAAATCATGTACACCGACACGGACAGTCTCATTTACCATAAGAATGCGAGAACATTTACGAGACTATTAAACGCGATATCGCTAGATTCGATACGAGCGATTATCCGGCGGACAACGCATACGGTATGTCTCTCGCGAATAAAAAAGTACCCGGTCTTATGAAGGACGAGAACAATGGTATGATAATGACCGAATTCGTTGGACTCAGAGCGAAGATGTACGCGGTAAGGGTAGATGGCAAAAAGGACACCAAAAAAGCAAAAGGTGTAAAGAGTAACGTCGTAGCGCGAATGATAACGTTCGATTACACGCGGTGCTTGAACGAAGAGATCGAAACGACTCGTCGTCAATCGTGTATTCGATCTAAACTGCATGAAGTATACACGATATCCGAATCGAAAATCACTCTGAGTCCATACGACGACAAACGATACGTCGTACCGAACACGACGGAGACGTTACCGTGGGGACACTGGCAGATACCTTTGCATATAATATATGCATTAACATTTATGTTACTATTAAGTACTACTATTATTGTATTGTAATTTACATTTTATGTATGTTTTTTATGTTTATATAAGTATTACTATTATGTTTTATGTAGTAACATTTATTATGTATTATTATTTTCAATTCGTGTTTCAACCATTTTCTTATATATTATCGTAATTTGTACTTTGTATGTTTTCCTACATTTTTTAATTTTTTATTTTCATACAGTGAACTATTATGTATTATTATAATATCGTTATGTATGTTTTTACATTTATAAGTCTTACTATTATATTTTATATAATACCATTTATTATATATATTAATATTATTTTTCATTTCACATGTATCGTACATTTATAAGTACTTTATATAAGTCTTACTATTACGTTATATGTAATATCACTTATTATGTATTACTATTTTTTATTTCATGTATCGTACATTTATAAGTATTTTATATCTGTATACTCCAAAAATGAAGATGGAAGGGATAATAAAAAATATTTTACACGTTTATATCCTTATGTAGATATATATTTTTTATATGTAGAATAAAAAAAAATACATGAATCAAAATTATATCAAATCACATTGTTTTTATGTATCCATGAATTGTGCGATCCATCAAATCCCAGCCACTTGACGTACACCTTGTTTCCCTTCCTGCGCAGTACTTTTTTCACGAGATACACATCCGGATGAGTAGCGCGATGCAATTCGTGCTCGTAGAACGCTCCAGCGACGGATTTTCCGCGATAGTCCTCGAGTAAGTAGGTTACGGGATTAGTACGTTGTATCTTAACGATCGTAAACACCTCGGTGGTCCAATTTGGCGTGTAACCCTTCTCAAAAACCGTCTTGTACTTGCTCACGCGTACTGAATCGCCTACTTTGAATTTTGCCGGACCCGCGATCTTTATCGCGCTGTACACTGTGCCCAAGGGTCTTTCGGCGATCGCGGGAGTTACGTCGGCGGGTCGCATGCCGATGGTGCGATGCTTGCGCGCGTTGTAATTTCACACGAGACGCGGCAGCTCGTCGACCCACTTGTAATTGCCGTTGACATCTTCCACATACCGTTCTTGAGCGTGCGATTGAACCGCTCGACCACTGACGCCTTTAACGTCGAATACGTGGAATAGTGATTAACGTCATGTTTTTTCAAGATTTTCTGCACATCGGCGTTGTAAAATTCCTTCCCCATATCCGTTTATAAATTTTTCGGAGATCTTCCACTCGCTCGAACGATCACAGCGATAGCGTCAACCGTCTCGCTTCCACCCATGCTCTTGAGTGGCACGGCCCACGCGTACTTGCTCAAACACATCGATAACGGTGAGTATGTAGTGGTGACCTCTGTTGAGTCTCGAGTA